ATTACAGAACATCGAGAACACTTACACTGAAACCTTCCTTTCTCTGAGAGAGGAGGTGCAAATTCCAAAGTAGTATAGGGGTATTCTTGTGTTTGTTTTTGGTTCTGAGGAAAAGCACCGTATCACATGGTTGTTTCATAATATCTGGTATCTAAACTGGCTAACATATTATATAACACACAATTAAGTGGAAACATTCTCAACTGTTTAAACACCATATCTCATTTTTAAAGTAACAAGATGATCCTGAACTTAAAAAGTTTCTAAAAACAAAACAAAACAAACTTCCTATATCCTGCCACAGAAACAATGGATTACAAACAAATATTTGATTTTTTAAAATTAACTAACCAGAATAATCTAAGGTCCAAATGCCAGCTATTTAATAACCTGATAGTGTACATTACTGTAACTTGCCCTTGTTTCTAACTTGACTGTGGTTATAAATTTTACTTGGTCTGATTCAAATTTGGTAACCAACCTGAGGAAAAGAAGTATCAAAGAAAACTTTTAAGAAGGATTTTCCTCCCTCTTCACTGATTTCAGTATCATAATAGAAGATAGAACTATAAGGTAATGAGAAGTCTTTTAAAATAAACATGCCAAAATGCATGCATACAAAAAACAAAGTCCTGGGACACTTGGGTGGCTCACTTGGTTAACGTCCAACCCTTCATTTCAGCTCAGGTCTGCATCTCAGGGTCTTGAATTCAACCCTTGCATTGGGCTCCATGCTGGCATGAAGCCTACTTAAAAACAAAACAAAACAAACAACACGAAGTTCGATCAATGCTGATTACATTTCTAAAATCTACTTAAAAAGCCATCAGAGTGAATCAGGTACATGAACTTGAGAAAAGCTAATTTTGGTGTGAATGGGGGAAAAGGAAGTTTTTTTTTTTTTTAAAGGCATAAATTTCCTTCAGATTCTAAATGCAATTCGAAATGAAGAACACAAGGGCACCTGGGTGGCTCAGTCGGTTAAGTGTCTTCCTTCAGCTCAGGTCATGATTCCAGGATCCTGGGATCAAGCCCTGCACGGGGGTTCCCTGCTCAGCAGGGAGTCATCTGCTTATCCTTCTCCCTCTGCCCCTCCATCCTGCTCATGCTTTCTCTCTCAAATGAATAATAAGATTAAAAAAAAAAAAGACACAAAACTGTACTGAGCTATGGTTGCATCAATGACCTGAGCATGCAGTCTGTTATATACTTTAAGGTTATTCATTTTAAGGTTAATAATGTTCACTTCTATGTATGGTTTTCTGATATGAACCCAAAAATATTAATAATTTTTGACCATAAATCATATGGTTCTAACTGTGATTCCTTTAGGATTAAGTAATAAAGTACTATAGTGAAAATGGAGCATTAAGTCTAACACCATAAAGAAAGCGATAAATCCAGAATATGGAGTTCTATGTGACAACTAATGTAGGTCTTCATTATTTTTTTTAAAAGATTTTATTTATTTATTTGACAGAGAAAGACAAAGTGAGAGAGGGAACATAAGCCAGGGGAATGGGAGAAGCAGGCTCCCCGCTGAGCATGGAGCCCAATGCAGGACTCCATCCCAGGACCCAGGATCATGACCTGAGCCAAAGGCAGGTAGGTGCCTAATGACCGAGCCCCCCAGATGCCTCTAGTATAGATCTTTAAAAACTCAGTAGCAGGGAGGAAAAAAGGCAGGAAGATTAATCCAGATTAATAAAGGATAAAGGAACACGAGAAATGCGGTGCATGCTCCTGGATTTTTAAAAAATTTATCTATAAATAACAGCTTGGGGACATTTGATAACAATAATATCACAGAATTATGGTTAATTATCTTAGACATGATAAAGATTTAGGTTGTGTAAAAGGATGTACTTATCCTTACAAGATACATGATAAAATACTTAGGAGTATGGTTCACAATATTTGTAACTTCTCTATTCACACAAGACAGTATGTGTGTACACACACAGACACACACATATATATACACACGTATATAAACATACATGAAGAAATAAAGCAAGTGTGACAAAATGTTATTGATAGTCAATCTAGACAGAGTATTTGGGTATTCAATATATTATTATTCTTTCAATCTTTTTGTAGGTCTGAAAATTCTCAACATAAAAAGTTGCTGGAAAAAACGCCATTTATAATATCAGATACTTATACTTACCTCAACAGGCCAATTTAGTAATGATCTCCCATTCCCTCTCTAATCTTAATGTCTAAAGTAACGGTCTCAAAATCGAACAGACACACCCTAGGACACAGACAAAATGAACCAGAGATACAGAAGGAAAATACTAGAATTTCTATTAATATTCTTTTTCTCTGACCCTCCTAAGATGTCTGTTTTTCAGAGTGTTGCATAATGCACAAAATAAATTGCCAGAGTAGAACCTGTATAATTTGTAAATACATATACATACATATTTTGAAGCTGTACACTTAAAAATATTTGTTACTGATGAGGATATCTGTTAAAAAAAATTGGGATATAATAATTCTTCAGTATAGACATACCTATTTTTAAGATCATTAAACTGATTTAAGATCATTAAAACTGATTAAACTAAAACCAGAAGATCATTAAAACTGGTCCTTTTTGCTTTTATCTGAGGGAATGCTGACTCAATAATTTAATATGTAATCCTTATCTGAAATTCTAAGAAACTATAAGAAGCAACAGACAGACAACAGTGGTAGTGGGAGATATTAACACAGCTAAAGAGTCAGAAAATCAGCAAACTACAGAATGACCAGAGGTTATCACGAATAAAATGATAAATTCTGTTCAGCAAGGAAATCTATGATTTTAAATACTAAGATTTAAAATGCTCTAAAACATAAAGAAAAAAATGTTGCTGAATTTAAGAAAACTTCAGAAAAAATGACTTAAGTTTTAGAATTTTAAAGAAAGATCATACTAAAAAAGAACACATAAAACTAAGCTTTGATTAAAAACTGGGGGGAGCATATCATCATAAATAGTATAGAAAATAATCTATTGACTTGACAAGAATAGTCAAACCATGATTATAAAATAAAAGGTAACTGAACATAAGGCCTTCGGAAAATATTTAGCTAACTTTCTTCCATGTATTTTATTTTGAAGGGGGCAGGAAGTTAGCTGATTTTAAAAAAAATGAAAATGATGTAAGAATGAAAACTTAAAACTATAATTTTGTAATTAAATAATTTAAAAGTGATATAACAGCTATAATTATTAGTACAATTGCTAATAAAATAATAAACCAAGGAAACAGATGAGAAAAAGAAAACTGGTTTAAAGTATTAAACAGATGAGCATTTGATCAATAATACCAATGGACCTCATTCTAGAAAATGATCATTGTTTTATAGCTGCATAGTTTATCATATAGGACACTACTATGTCTTACCTAAACTCAAAGCTTTGGACTAAAGATATTTCCGAGCTGAATTACACATGTCATATGTACATGAAAATTGTGCCAAAAAAATATTAATGGTCTATTAAGCATTTTAAATACAAAAATATAGAAACAAAATTCCAGAAGCTTGTAACATAAAGACGGGAATCTCCAGGCCCCTAAAATGGTCCCTCACTGAGTAGGAGAGAGAGGTACAGACAAGGATGACCCTAGAGTTGGAAAGACTGTAAAATCCAGTAAGTACACAAACACACTAGTCCTAGCAGGTGTTTGGCAATGATAAGATTATCACATCCAACTGGCCATGGGTTTGCCAGTTACTTACGCTAGACAGTAACTGGCTGAATTTTTCCATGAGTGTATGTACTTATGGAAAAATTCGTGTTTATGTATACACACTCAAATTCTATAAAGGAAATAAACAGAGAAGTAAAATTTGCTTCACAGAAATCTACATTATAGTTAATTCATTTGATACATAATTCTACTCCTTAAAAAAGGGAAGGGGCAGCTATATTTTAAAAAGACTTGAGAGTACGATACATAGACCAGTTTTGGAACAAAATGATTTGTGCTCCTAACTGATCCTTTCCTATTTCTATCCTTGCCATGTCATCTGAATGATGGAAAATCCAGGTTCCTCTGCATTGGTATTTTTCTGTCCGGTATTTTTATATGAAATAAATGTAAAGCACAAACTAATACAGTTATCAATTTTAAGTGCTCACCATTTAAACCTTTATAAGGCTGGTAATAGGTAAGAAAAATGTATATGTATTGTAATAAGGGTAGTTTTTCCTCTCACCATTCACTGACTTTGATAGGTCAAAAAGCATACTAGAGACTGTATAACTGATGTTACAGCACGAAGGATATCAAGTTAAACTGGGAAAATGATACATTCACCACTGGTAAACAAAAATTTATCAAAAGACAAAGAGAAAAATACATTATGACCTGGGAAAAAGTCTACCAGTTAAACTAGAATATTCAAATTGGAGTGAAAAAGATTATAATCTGTTTGACAATATTTATCAAGAAACAATATACTAAAAATTTTTTAGTATAAAGTGTGAATTCAGTTTCTAAAGTTACTGTTTGAGGGCAACATATTCTAAGCTCAGGTTAGCACAACACTAGGGTGACATACTGAAGTTGAAGACAATGCTGTAAATTTGAACCTATACTATGAGTCACCATTAAAATTACTTGCACAGAAGGAATCATTTGTCAAAAAGGAAAGGAATAATCTACCTAATTACAGCAGTCTTCGAAAATGCAAATTAAATTTTCATTTATGGTGTGAAACATGTTGTCAATTCATTTAATATAATGCTGAACTCAATTTTTCAGTTGTTTAAATAGTATTAAATTATAGCACAACTAGGGAAATGATAAATATTTAAGAAGTTTAAATTCCAGTGGAAAACATATTTCATGTAGATCAAAGGGAAAGCCTTCATTCAAAAATACTTCTGAATAGGGCCAAAATAATTCCATTAGAACTTTAAGAGAGGAGCCCCAAAAGTCCAGTTTGAAAGATAAGAATAAATATACAAACTATGAAGCAAAACCAGGAATATAGAATATTTTGAAACATCTACTTATATCCATTTTAATGAACAATTAAAGGATACAATGTGTTAAAGACATATTTAAAAGACTAATAGTGGGAAAAGACAGATGAATCAAATTTTGTTTATATCCTAAATAATTACAAGAGACTTTGAAAGTGTAGTGTAATTCATGTTTTCTTTCCAGTTTAAAAATTTCTATCCATTGCCTCTATCTTTGGTGTCACTGCCACCAATAAACACAAGTATACAGCTTAGAAATCTAATTAACTATCTTCAACTAGGAAAAAGAAAACCAACATTATTCCTTTAAAAATAAGATATAAAGAATGTGATCCTACTTAATTTTGTCTCATGGTCCCACACTATTCTGAAATATCATGCCAAATGTAAAAATTTGAAAGGGAACATCATCATTTGCTATAATTGAACCAAAAATTTAGCTACTGTACGCTGGTGTGATGACAGCTAGTAGTATGCAGAGGCTACAAAAAGACATAAAATACGTATGTTTAGCTCACAATTAGTCAAAGGAAGGTTCAGTTTAATGTGAAACTGAAACATGGACAACATAATGCCTTCATGTAAATATGCTACAGCTTTGTTCTCTTGCAGTTTAAAGGGATAGTGTAATTATCTTAAATTTACACAAAACATTATGAAACATGGTAGTTGTTCATGATTAAAATAAAATAGCAATGTAAATTAATTTAACAGTGTTAAATATATTCACATGATCACCACTGTGATTCAAAATGGCCACTAATGAAGTTACACAGCAATATATGTACATAACATTTGCCACAACAGTTTTTGTAAGTTTGACTTTTTGCAGACCAGGCAATTTCATGAGACAAATTATCTTGTATCAATTCTTTCATATTATGAAAGGAATTAAATGTTGTAAGTAGTTTCATTCCTCTAGGGGAGGGGGGAAAGGAGAACCTCTAAAAAGTCAGTGCAAATTGAAGAGAGTTCTACCTTCTTGAGTATTTGAACCTGTAGACCAAGATAGATTCCTAGAAGCTGAGGATAAACAAACCTTATGATATTAAAGACTCTCACAACATTGTCAGCGGCATTTAGCAGATATTTGCCACAAAGAGGAATTCCAAGTCCTATAGCAGAGCCTTCTGAGAATATGGTTGCTGTGGCTGAGGTGGCTGTTGACTGCCTCCTGGCTGAGGCAGTGTTGATGATGTTAAATTATAGTTTGGCACCTGGGACATATTAGTTCCTGCATTCTGGTATATAGTGACATCAGCAGTAGCAGCAGCAGCAGCAGGAGGAGGACTATATACTGAAGCCTGGTTGGGGTATGTATTTCCTTGAACAGAACTGACCATTGTGCTGTGGAGGGGGGAGAAAACACTCAATTAGATCAAAACTGACTTACACAGCCATTTAGAGATAAACAGGAAAGCTGTTCATTAAACATTCATTCATTCAACCCATTTCATAAATACTTACTAAATACCTATAAGAGCCAAACATTTGCTAATTTAAACACTGGGATATTACAAAGAAAGAAGGAATGAGAGTCCTTACCATCAAGGACCTTAAATTCTAGTAGGAGAATAAAGATACAAGTCTATGTCAACGGGTAATAACTGGTATGAAGAAAAATAAAGCAAGTAGGAGGACCAAGAGCACCTGGGACAAGAGATTCCAGTTCCTGAACAGTGGCAGGGGAAGGCCCCTTAGATAACAGTACATTTAAAAGACATCTCAAACACATGAGAGGGGGGAGTCCTATTAATTAAGGGGCAGTGTATCAGGCAAAGAGGACAGCGAATAAGAAGCCTCTAAGGAGAGAAAATACCAGACATGTTCAAGGAACAGAAAAGCCACGCTGGAGACAAAAGTGAGCCAAGGGGAGAACAGCATAACAGAAAGTGACAGAATTAAGGAGGAGGAGAGCTTAGAATATGTGGCACCCTGTAGACCGTAACAGGGATTCTGGCTTTTTTTGAATGAGATGAAGATACTGACTGGTTGATTTTGGACAAAAGACTGATGTCATTTGATTCAGGTTTTAATAGACTCACTCTGGGCCAATGACAGATACAAGGATACCTGAAAGGAGACTATTACAGTTGTCTAGATGAGAGATGGCAGGTAGCTCGAGCCATGGTGGACATGGTAAAAAGGAGAGGAAAGGGTCAGATTTTGAAGGCCCTGCATCAAAATTTGCTAGTGGAAAGTGGTGAAGATTGCCTCAAGTTTTAGAACTGATTAGCAGAGTGGCCTTTTCACTGAAAAGGAAGACTACAGATAAGGACTACAGTAGATTTGGGGAGGGAGAATCAAAGTATAGTTGTAGACACACTGAGAGAGACCTAGGAGATTCACAAAAGACAATGGACAGGCCTGGAATCCAACGGAGAGGTCCGGACCAGAATATACACTAGGGAGTCACTGGCATACGCAGTGTTCAGAGTCATGGGCCTGAACTGAGATCTCCTAGGGATTACAAACAGAAATAAAGTAGTTCTTATTTAACCCTAGACCTCGGAAAAAGGAAGATAAATAGGCAAAGAAGATTGAGGAGTGGCAATAAGGTGGAAGGAACACTAAGAGAGAACGGTCATGTGAAGACAGTATTTCAAAAAAGTCAAGTGAAGACATATTTCAAAAAGGAAGTGAGCACTGGATGTCACAGTACAGAAATCACTAGTCTTTGACCAGAGGGGTCCCAGTGATTATGGTAGATGAAAGCTTAATAACCTTATTTCTCTTATTTCCATGAAAATAAAGCTGCATTATAAGAGGCCTCCTGGGTTGCCTGGGTGGCTTAGTCAGTTAAGCATTTTGATTTCAATTCAGGTCATGATCTCAGGGTTGTGAGACTGATCTCGGAGTTGAGCTCTGTGACTGGACGTGGAGCCTGCTTAAGATTCTCTCTCCCTTTGCCCCCTAATCAAATAAAAAATAAAAAAATAAAATAAAATAAAAGGGGCCTTCTATCTATTCCCACCACATTTACTATCTGTACCATACCCACATAAGACTCTGCATTCCCTCTCACAGAAATTGATCAAGGTCAGTGCTCCTATCCAAGGCACCCTCCACTGTGCATGGCTCCTAGACCACCAAAAACATTCCTTCAGGATTGTTGCTGTCTCTGCTTCCTCTCCTCCCGTTCCCAATCTATTTGAGTTTCTACTCTGTGTAAGATACCAACTAAACAAAGAAAAACATTAAGAGGTTTAATATTGAAATTCTTCATACACACAACACTTTCTATTAAAAATGTAAAACATGTTAATTAAAAAAAAGAAAAAAATGTAAAACAATCTATACAATGGGGAATTGCCCAAAATTTTCAAAATATTGCCTATTTCTAAACTTGTCTTCAATTGTGACATTGTTTACAAATCATTTGTAAATTCAATGCTCTTCTACTTTGCAAAAAAACACCCTAATTCATTATTGTAACAGGTAGTCATTTACTGTTACATTCCACCAATTAATGTAACCAACTTAAGTAACATTTAAAGACATTACCCATTATCATTCTATGTGCTGTGTTGTGAGATATAAAGTGTAACAAGAGGTTGGATTTGATGCCATTACATCAGTAAGAGTCACAATACTAGTATCATAAATACAATGTTGAGACCAAGTGTTTAGCTGTGGAGCCAAAATGCCTGGTTTTGTATCTTACCTAAGTCCTCCCTTCCGTGTCTCAGTTTCCTTATCTATAAAATGGGTGACAGTGTATGAACTTCATAGGTTATTAAAGAGTGGTAATACATGCAAAGCATATAGCACAGTGCCTGGTGCTTACTGAAACACTCTATAAATGTTTGCTATTACTGCAGTCATTCCCATTTTGTACAATATTGCCTATCTCATTAATGGTTCTGCCATCTACTTGAGGGTAAAACCCAGCAATTCACCCAATATTTCTCTTTCATACCGCTGCTCTGCCCTCGCTCCTGACCCTGTCACCAATATGTAATCATTCGTTAATCTCCTGAATAACTCTTTCCCCATCTCTTAGCATTTCATCCTGCAGTTGAACAATCACTGCTTGCTTAATATATATAATCTCCTGGCTTCTTACCTAGGCCCTAAAAATTCATCTATCCTACTGCTATTTAAAGCCATTTAACAAGATTCCCCAGGTAAGACCCAACCTCCTTAACATATCTAGGACCATTCATTATCCTTGCCAGTAACTCCAAGTGTTATCTCTCCCCCCATCCCACTGAAGACTTTAATCCTTTAGTAACACTGTACTGTTTGGTAATCCCCAAAATGTGCCATGTATTTTCACAACTCCTCCGTTTAGTCTTTCCATGGGTATCAAGCCATTTCACACTACCAAGTCTTTACTTATGACAGAACATCTTTCTTTTTTCTTCCAGGCTAAGAATAAACACAGATTGAGCACATTTTCTTGTAAACCTTCCCTGAACCACAAGGCTCCTAAAGCACCTTGCAAGTACCCCTATTTGTAATTTGTTATAATTACATATTTTTTTATTGTCCGTCTCTACTAGCTCGTAAGCACCTTGAGGCTAAGAAACTCTAAATAAATGGTCAACTAATATTTGACAAGAGAGCCAAGAATATTCAATGAAAAAAAAAAAAAGATAGCCTCTTCCATAAATGGTGTTGGGAGAATCTGATAACCACATGCAGAAAAATGAAACTGGAATTCTGTCTCGTATCATTCACAAAAATGAACTTGAAATGGATTAAAGACTTATATTTAAGACCTGAAATTCCCAGAAGAAAACACGAAGAAAAAGATCTCTGACATGGTCTTGGTAGCAATTTCCTGGATATGACAACAAAAGCAAAAGCAACAAAAATAAAAATCAACAAGTGGGAGTACATCAAAAATGCATAGCAAAAGGCAGTCAGCAAAATGAAAAGGCAACCTACAGAATGGGAGAAAATGTTTTTAAATCGTATTTCTAATAAGGTTAATATTCAAAATATATACAGAACTCACATAACTCAATAGCAAAAAAACTAACAACCCAAATAAAAAATTGACAGGGGAATTTAATATAGAGTTTCCTAAAGAAGACATAAAATGATCCATTAGTACATGAAAAGAGCTCAATATTACTAATCATCAGGGAAATGGAAATGAAAAGCATAATGAGATATCACCTCATACCTGTTAAAGTAGCTATTGGGAAAAAAGAATCCTTGGGCAGTGTTGCTGGGAATGCAAACTGGTATAGCCACTACGGAAAATAGTATGAAGGTTCCCCCTACCCCCCAAAATCAAAAATTGAACCACCATATGATACAGCAGTCCTATTTCTGGATATATATCCAAAGGAACTGAAATCGGGACCTCTTAGAGTTTTCTGCACTCTCATTTTCACTGAAGCATTACTCACAACAGCCAAGATACAGAAACAATGTGTCATGAGATGAATGGATAAAGATGTGGGGTACACTCATACACACACACGCACATACAAAGGAATATTATCAAAAAGAAAGAAGGAAATCCTGTCATTTGTGACAACTTGGATGAGACATAAGGACATTATACTAAGTAAAATAAGTAAGATACAGAAAGACAAATGCCATATGATCTAATTTATGTGTGGAATCCAAAAAAGTCAAACTCACAGAGGAGAGGGGTAGTGAGCAGGGCTTGGGGATTGCTGAGAATGGGAAATACTGAATAAAGGGTAAACTCTTTCAGTTATAAGATGAACAAATCTGGGGACCTAATATATAGTATGGTGGTTCTAGCTAATAATACTGTATCATACACATGAACGCTGCTAAGAGTAAATCTTAAATATTCTCACCACAAAAGAGAAATGGTAACTAAATGAGGGGATAGTGGTAGTAGCTAATACTACTGAGTGGTAACCATTTTATAATATATAAATGTATCAAATCAACAAATGGTACACCTTAAACTTATACAATATTTTATGTCAATCCTATCTTAATAAAGCTGGAAAAAATTCTAAATCATATTCTGGTACAGATGAAATATAAACATCTGTTTAAGAGAAGCTAAATGAAATAACAGACAAGTACACAGCTTCGGTCACCTCAGTACTATCACGGGCATCATCACTACAGGCAGGTTCAGGAAACGGCATCAGTACCACCTTACCAATTATCAGTAAGATCGCCCTAGGGTGACAGAAATCTGGACAAGTGATAACCCTAGAACCAACATTATATATAAAAGAGTAAGAAATTGCCTTCTAGGTGTGAAATAAAGGACACTTAAAAACCTGCCTACCAAAAATAGAAGAAAAAATAATTCCTCATTTGTCATTACATATAACTTGTCATTACAAAGCTCAAGTTGAATATGCAGTACACCTCTATCGAGTATATTTCCAACCCTAATT